GTATTGAATTTGTGATCGTTGTTTGTTGTATGATTTACTAACTTGTCTACGCGACAGAATCCAAATGCTTATCTTCTTTTCTATCGTCGTCGCTCTTCATTCCCCTTGGGTGGCCAGAGTCACGTTCTTGCCGAGCAGGCTTTACAAAATCCATCCAAACCCGAAACTCCCGCCTCTACCTCTGACGACGAAACCAGTGACGCTCCCGACACAGTACTCACAGACATACAACTCCCTACCCCTCCCAATGAGGTTGACACCCTTGCTCCTTATTCAAATGACTCTTCAGCGTCGTCACTTGGAGCCGGTTTCACGATGACCAACTGGCAAAGTAGTCAACCTAGCCATTCTCGCACAGGTATACCTATCGACAATGATGAACTTGACCTTGACCAGTCATTGCAGATTGAACCTTCGCTGCGACTGTTCGACGACAGTTTTGATGGCTCATCGACCTTCACGTTCCCAGAGCCATCGTCGTCTCTGCCTAATTCATCCCCAACCTCTTCTGTTGGAGTAGAGGCTGATTTTGATGCTGAAGTGCGCAGCGACGATCTTGACGGAGAAGGGGAAGATGATGACGACGTTGGGCCTTGGTCACGCGAAGCCCGAGCTCGGAGCACAACGTTGGGAACTGAGATGAGAGAAACTTCACCGGCATGGTCTGCTTCTGCGCCTAGTCCAAGTCAAAGAAGTAGTGGGGTTGCTTCACCGGACAATTCAGATGATCTGAATCCTTTCACTGATAGTCATGTGTAGACAGACTTTTCGAGCTTTCTTCGTGTTGTCTTAATCGATATTGTTGAGCATAGGTAAAGCTTATTAACTACAGATTGCATATTTACCATATTATCTTAAACTACGAAATTGAAGTCAAAAGCAAGAGGACCAAACATGAACCAAACATTGTAGTCTTTCGACCTCAACACTCATCTGTTCTTCACTCTGTGTGGGTTTCTCAAATTCCCAGATTTATCAAATCCAGTACTTGTATCTTTTTACCTGATATCAGCGTTGGAATGAGTGCTCCTCAAGTACCAGATGCACCATATGCTTTCAATAGTCCAAGTCCTGAACCGTCTGCTGTTCCAACCGTAACTACACATGCAGGGCCTGGTCGACCTCGAGGTAGCGGTGCCAAACGTGGTCGCAAGCCTCGCGGAGCTATCCTTGCTGGCGTCGCTTCTCCACGCGTTACTACCACCGAGATGACAAGCTCTACGAGTCCAGCGTTTTCATCATCAACATACACTCCACATGTACACTGGAATCTGGCTAATACAACTGGAACAAGTTCTCCTGGTGCCAGTGGAAGCAGTAGCGTCCTTCCAGCTACAGGTATTGCCCAATCCAGACTAGGATCGAGTATCACTTCAGGTATCTCTGCGTATGGTCAGAATCTACAGACATCTTCAACCTCCGCACTCGGGACATCATCTGGCGCGACCACAGGCATTGGTGCTTCACTCAACCTCACGAACCTATTCAGGATGTCAGAAGGAGTAGGCGCAAGTGGAACTGGGTCATATCCGCGGGCTACTGGTTTAGGCGGAGACGATGAAGGAGAGGGAGATGACGAGCTACTTCCTGCTATGGCGGACGACGACTACTCTGCACAGCTATCATGGCAGAGTCAATCAAAAGATAACTTAAAGTGTGTCATGATTACGAATCTTACGAGTCGAGTTCTAATTGTGCTATCCTCGCTGCAGAGTTTTGATGGAAAATTTCAGTCCAGATCAATATGACCGTTTCGAAGCGTATAGACGTCACGCTTTGCCAAAACAAGCTGTCCGGAAGGCATGTCGTTTTTCTCATCCCTCCATTACAGTACCTTACCTTACCTATTCATCATAGGTAATCCAACAAGTGACTGGGCAACAAGCATCACAACCTGTGGCACAGATCGTCGCGGGTTTTTCCAAAGTCTTTGTTGGAGAGATTGTGGAGAAAGGTGTGGATAATCATTCGAGGATACAATGAGAATTATACAAATTTCTGTGCTCTAGCTCGTCAGGTACAAGCACGTCGAGGTGAGGCGGGTCCCCTCTCCCCTGACCATCTCCGAGAAGCGTACCGGCTGTATCAACAGGAAACTGGTAATGTGGGTGCGGCAAAGCCGGTACGAGCAAAGAAACTATTCGTTAGATAGGCATTTTTATCGCTCTCCGGCCGACATCCAGAAGCGCGCGTGGTTCTATCATAGTTGTGGGTTTCTCTAGACATAGACTATGATGTCAATGCGGACACTTGGCTTTTTCTAAATACTCGCTGCTTGCTGTTTCTACTTTGTATTTTGAGTGTTGTACGACGGAATTATACTAGTATATTACACATTGCTCGTACAACTCATTAACAGCGACGGTCGCTCGAAATGAATGCTGACTCCCATATTCCACTCGGTCTGTGAAGGGGCACCTCTCTTTATTCTCGCGCTTCACGGGAAATTCATCACCCAGCTTGCTGTTCCATAAGCTGTATTTCCTCGATGTGCTGAGGCATTAATTTCTCGTTGGGTCTAACTACAGGTCAAAGCTGTTTTTGGCAGGGGAGGGCCCCCTAAATTTTTTCCCAACCAAGTCAACATCTAAACTTCCGAGGGGTTGTTATCATTACAAATAATCTTACCCGCAGAGTCGATGAACTCGGACTCAGAAGTGTAGGTTGTTTCCTTCTTTGGTGAAGTTGCTACTCTCTCCAGCGCTCGCAGATTTTAAATACCCGTGTTTGAGCACTAAACAAAAACAGGCCTAGGATTGTGTGATCTCGAGCAGCGTAGCCATCAAGTTTTCTTCCAGCCTTTGGGACTGTGAATCATGCGATATCATATGCACATACCGGTTGCAACGCGTTTAGAACCCCCACTACATCCTAGGAGAGAGATAATTGTCCAAACCCAAGTGAATAAGAGGATTCTCAAAATCTTACATCGCAAGGAGGCTTCCCCTATAATTCCTTTCAACACTACACGCTCCCGCTGTTTCTCAAGATCCATCAATCTATGATGTGCACCCGCTTTGTACGCTTATCTCTATTCAACCAAATGTCCGAATACTTCAGTTAGTGACAGCAGTTCCAGTTCCGATTGCTAACTTTTCGCTGTTCCCCGGCTTCAGGGTATTTCCGCGACTCTGTCGGCCCAGCACGAGACTGCTTAAGAAATTACTTGAGATATAACCTGCTGTCAGACTTCGGTGTGTCCTTTCTTCTTCGGATACCTTCAAAGACTCATGAAGAACTAGTTGAACAGGAGCAAAATCAGTTCGAGAGCGAGGGGATATCAGTGTCTGTCTATTAGTTCAGTAAGTTATCTACACAGGTTTCCTCCTAGATTGTCAGGGGGACTGATCATACTACTATGATTGCTTTTCTTAATCATGCGGCAATGTCCAACAGCAGTCCAAATATCAAGGGGTATATCAAGAAGCTGATCTGTTACCTCCCGTTCATCTCAAACAAGCTCAGGCTCTCCCGTGCACGACTTCAACAACGAACTCGTCTGTTCCATCATGGCACTGGGAATCAGCGAGGCTCAGCTCTTGGGACTTTTTCTCGCCAGTGTCTTTTGGGGAATGTTTCTGATTACATTCATCCAATGCATACGCTATCTATTATGGGATTCGAGAGGAGTCCTAAAGCCTGCGGCAACAGTCAACTGGCCTTTGTTTGTCGTCGCAGCGTTGTTAGCATTCCTATCGACTTTTGATGTTGCATTAGGGTTGATGCACAACATCGAAGCTTTCATATTTTACACAGGACCAGCCTGGGGATCTGCCGCTCGGTTCACAGGATTAACAGATTGGGTCAACATTCTCAAGGTACGTCCTACTGTTCGATCAGTAATTCTCTGTTCTCAATCACAGTAACTTAGACATGTAACGTGGTGTTTGGAAAGCTTATAAGTGACGGTGTCCTTGTACGGTCTTCTATCTCTGTGTAGTATCACCCATGCAGGGCACTGATTACACATACCACAGGTTTACCGCTGCTGGGTGGTGTACAACAAACGATGGCTTGTCGTCGCATTTCCACTCCTTTTGTGGTTAGGTTACCTGGGTCTCGCCATTTTCGTCGTATATGTGGAGGCAAGCGCCGATAATCCTCACGTCCTGCTGACAGGCCCAGGCCTGTCGGATCTTACACCAAGTATCACATCTGGATGGACTCTGTCACTCGTTAATAACATAATAGCTACTGGTATGTACACTCGCTTTTATCTTCACTGTGAATCCTGTGCTCATCAACGTCATTGTAGGGCTCATCGTCTATCGCATCTGGCGTGTCGACAAAGAAAGCTCAATGTACGCTATGCAGAGCAATTCGTCACGCAGTCGCGCATTCTTCAGTCGTAGTAGTCAAAGGACTAAATTGCAAAAACGTCACACGAGTTATTATCGAATCAGGATTTCTCTATACGACCATTGCACTCATTACCTTCATCACTTTCTTGACTGGCAGTAACTCTTTCTATGCCGCTTCTGACGCAGTGAGGAACAAATCTTACCTTGATACTGATAAATTACTTATGTCCGTGATACACAGGAGCTACAAATCCTCTCAATAGCATTCAATTTGATCATCATTCGTATCAGCACTCGGCCTGAAGAGAACCACAGCGTGCAAACTAGCAAGCCAAATCATCATCCATCATTCCCTCTGCGTACCTTCACTTCCGTGATGGACAGTACTAGCCCAGCCCCAGATGAACTTACATCGAAAAGGACCCTTGAAGTTATGGTTACAAACGAAGAGAGTGTAGATGTAGATTATCCTCCTGCGCGTTCACGGGGCAGAGATTCATATAGATCTGCCATCGACAACAAAAGCAGGATGGACGTTGATGGGAACTTGGATTCATCAGTTTAGTGCTGTACAATGAATGAATGCAAATGTTGTGTGAGGGCTCTTTACCGCCTGTACTGCACAAATCACGAAAAACACTTACTAGTATACATACATTTCATGTACATAATGAAATAAAGCCTTAGAAAAAATAAAGCTGGGGGTACCGCGGATCGAACGCGGGACCTTCAGAATTCAACTGACAATGTCTTCAGTCTGCTGCTCTCCCAATTGAGCTATACCCCCGACAGAAAGTGGGTTGAGATTAAAGTCCTCAACGCAGTCTTTCAACGTTGATGTCCATATAAATATCATAACTTACGCCGTTGACATTGAGCCTTCAGTGAGGATCAAGAGTTGATTTAGCCCTTTGCGACCAACTGCCTTCTTCAACATCTAGAAAAGACTCATGTGGTAGTTTATTTGCACTTGCCACTGAATACGGCGCGGATTCAACCTCTGGGTTAGTGTTCTCAACCGTCCTCTTCGTTGCAAAGCTGAATTTGCGCAATGGGAATGTCTGTGGTGCCGCAAGTTGTGCGCTTGCACTGTGATAGCTCTCTGAACTACTGGGTCGAGTACTGATGCGTATGATGATGAGATTGAATGCAATTGAAAGAATCTGGAGCTCCTGTTGAGTGCGTGAGTCGTCGGGTGAGCAGTTGAGCGCAAAAGTCGAGGCAAGCATAACTTACCGCATCTGAAGTTGGATAGAAAGAGTTACTTCCCACCACAAAGGTGATGAATGTGATGAAAGCAATGGTGGTGTACATTAATCCTGACTCGATGATAATTCGAATGACATTTTGCAATTTCGTTCTTCGACGCTTCGAGCGGCCAAAGAGACCGTGGGTCCCTTGTAAGGATGATTCCTGGGTTTGAATACCGTATAGCGCATTGGTTCTGTCTACGCGCCAGATACGATAAACAATAATTCCTGTGATGAATATGCAGGTTAGACTAATACTGGTTCAAAGAATAGCAGATCTACCAGTGGTAATGATATTATTAGCCAACGACATCGTCCAACCAGCAGTGATACTGGGAGTGAGTTTGGACAATCCTCCAGTCAGCAATACTCTAGGATTCCCTGCGCTCGCCTCCAGATAAATGACAAATATCCCTGTACCGAGATATCCCATCCACAAGAGTATTGGAAATATTATAATGACAATGCTACGATTGCAGATTGTCCAGCATCGGTAAATCTATAGATAGAGAGGTTGTATGCGACTTCAACTACAGATTGAAGCGGTTCAAAAGACTGACCAAAATACCATCACTGATCACCTTGCCGAACACAACATTGCACGTCTGAGGAAGGATTAAACGTCGAAATTTGAGTAAGAGATTGAAGAAATAGTACGAACCTTCAGAATATTCACCCAGTCCGTCAAAACCTGTGAACCTAAGCAGCGGAGCCGCCGGGACCGGTGTAGAAGATGAACGCTTCGATGCTATGCATCAGACCCAGTGAAACGTCAAAAGTCGATAAAAGCCATCAGGAGGAGGGCGACAACAAGCATTGGCCAGTTGATTTTCGAGGCATGTTTTAGCCCCCCGCCTTCGGCGTTGGAATCCCAGAGAAGATACCGCATTGTTTGGACAAGGTGATGACTAGCATACCCCAAAACACACTGGCAAGAAACAAACCCAAGATTTGAGCTTCGCTAATTCCTAGAGAGTCTGCCATGATAACAGAACGGGTGGAGAACTGCTATATCTTGCATATCGATGGCGAGAATGTTATAAGACGACGCGGTGGAAAAATTGTTTCAGCATCAAAAACTGTCGAGTGAAAATTCCAAATGTTTACATCGTAGCCATTCATTAGAATGCTGATGAATGATCAAACTTCAGGCAGCGTGGGTGTCACCCAAAGATTCATGATACTACAAGTACGTGTGAATGAGTCGGTCGGCCGGTGTTGAGTGGTTAGATTTCAGAAAATAGGAGCCTTGATTTTGAGGATATCCCAACAATCCTTATATGGATGGCAAAAGGCATCTTATGCAAACATCGAGGACGGATTACTCCCGAGAGGAAACAGAGGAATACAACGAACCTGATGAGTCCTGATGGGTATGAGCCGAATTTTGAATTTCACTCCGATCGGGCTTTCCATCTACCATTGTCAAGACGCCGGTGCTTATTCACATTGCATGGGGGCGGTAGGAGGCTGGAGCTTTAAATGGCTGGATACGAAATCGAAGTCTCGGGTGAGGACGTTGAAAAGGCCGAATTGTGCGCATTCGTCGCGGGTTATGACAGTGACCAATCTTGAACACTATCTGGAAATTCTTGGCAGTCAGACGCCAGTACAGATGGTACATGGGGTCAAAGACAGGTTGGGGAGTATGAAAAATGTGAAACCGATTGATGATTATCTGCTACTCATTGACGTTTACAAGGGACATCTGACTGAAGTCCCAAGTAGTACGGATACCTAGATTTTGAACGCGTATTACAGCATCGATTCCGAATATCATACCGTATAAGCGTTTCGCCAGAAAAACGTCGCAGAACAATGTTGTGCATCTAGGACAATTGAGATTGTTATATACCTAGCTCAGTTGTGTAGATAACAACTAATATATTGTGTATGTACCTGTTATATACCTAGCTAAGGGTACGTGAGTGAGCGGGACATTTGTAAGGATTAGCGGCTCACCTCAGTTGTGTAGATAACAACTGAGGGAGCCGTCGCTACCGCCTCTCGCTGTATAGGTATGGTACTGTATAGTATTTGTAATGCACAGCGGGGAGTAATATCTCTCGCTGTGCTTATTCGTTCGTGTCCGTAACGGGCAATGTCCAAGCTGGCCCGCGGCGCTACCGTCCGCGGGGCGGGTGTGCGAATCGTTCCTAACACCCCCCCTGATTCGTACAATCCATCTGTAGCCACTGTACCATCCTGTCGTGTAGTTGTCCGGCTAACGGTTTTGTGAATACATCCGCGACGTTCGTTTTGACCTGATCTCCACCACTGCAATCTCGCCGTTAGCAACCTGTTCCCGGATCTGGTGATTCTCATGTCGATATGTTTGACTAGCGCGTGTCGTTTGGATGTCTCCGTGAGTGAGATTGAGCCGAAGTTGTCCCCGTGAATCCTCGTCGGTTCGTTAAGTGGGAGATCGATCTCCGAGAGGAATGACCGCAACCATACCGCTTGCTGTGCTGCGCGGGACAACGCGATATACTCTGCCTCTGTTGAGGATAGTGCAACGGTGGGTTGGCGCTTGGAGCTCCATGACACGGGCGCTCCTGCCATGAAGAAAACGTATCCGGAGGTTGATCTCCTGGTGTCGAGGCACCCGGCGTGGTCGGAGTCGGAGAATCCTTTAGGAATTAGTGCTGCCCCGGGTGTCTGTCCCCCGCCCGGCGGTGGTGCCGAGTAGGTGATGGAGTAGTCCAGTGTTTTTAGCAAGTACCCCGCCAGCCATTCCACGCATTCCCAGTGTCGCGGCCTGGGTTAAGTTGGTACCGGTGCCAGTAGGCCCGCCGCGTAGGCGATATCGGGGCGCGTACAAGTTTGGCACCAGCACGAGGACCCCACGAATGCGCGGTATGGTTTTCCCGGCCATGAACCGCTTTTCCTCCTCAGGGGTTCGGGGCCTCCGTTGTCGAAAGAAGGGTTGGTCTTCAGGTAGACCTGCGAGAGACTACAGTCGGGTCCTTAGGTACTTTGTTTGTAGATAGCTTCCCTTGTCGTTAACCTCTAACGACGAGGGAAGCTATCTACAAACAAAGTACCTAAGGACCCGACTGTAGTCCTCTCGCAGGTCTACCTGAAGACCAACCCTTCTTTCGACAGTGGAGCCCACCGCGAGGGGTCAGTTTTCCGTGGTCCTACGAACAAACAAGCTAAGTATCCCCCTTTCATCTTGAATCTGATTATTGTACTCTAGACAACATGTCTATCTATCCTCCAACAACGCTCTATAACTTAAGGCCTCCAATGCCTATTCCGAGGACTCCCTCGGCTCCTCACTTCAATGGGTGGTACATCAATGACTTCTTGGAGCAGATCGTCCTTCACGCTACCCAAAGTGGCGAAACGGACAAGAGTCAGATGGTAAAGTACATTATTACTTATTCATCTGACCAAGTCAAGGATACGATTCGCTTCATGGATCAATTCGATCCTAATAACCCAAACGTTTCTTGGGAAGCTGCTAAAGAAGCGCTCATGAACTTGTACGGTTCAAGAGACAAGCCGACGGAGTACAGCGAGGATGAGCTCCGAGAGTTCTGTAGAGATAGATCAGCTAAGTCGACTCTCTCTACTATAGCTGATATCGAGAAATACTACCGAGACTTTATAGCTTCCGCGACATCCCTTAAAAGAAAGGGATCATTACGGAGAAGAAGTTTGATTACTACTTCATCTTGGGTATTCCGCATACCATGAAGGATTGGTTCTTGAGTGCTGCACCTGAGAATAAGCGCACTCGAGATGATCCTCCTACGGTAGCGGAGTCGCTCAAGATTCTACATACAAGGTTCGACAAGAAATCCTTGATCTATGAAGAATGGAATAGAGACGAGAGCGAAAAAGTTAAGCCTGTCTTTAATGAGCTTGGCAACAGAGTGATTGCGTCTTCCTCTTCACAGTACGTCAACGTCTTGGATGAAGCAGTCGGACAAGGTCCGCTTTCAAGAATCATTCCGCCTATCGTACCTCCGGCTATTCCTTCGGCAGCAAATGCGAATATCGATGAGTTAACAAACGGCTCGAAGCGCTAACGCTGGCCATGGAGGCCATGAAGAATCAGGCAGCAGGAGGAAATGGTAATGTATTGGGTTTTCCTCAACAAGTAGGAGTTCCTACGGTGAAGAGTGTTTCATCTGTGGTAAATTCTCTGGTCAAGAAGGGACTCATCCCTTGGGGCTTAGAAATTGTCCTGAGACTAACCGTTTGCTTGCTGATCGTCTTATACTTTTAACACCCAGACTTCGAAGTATACGCTTCCCGACGGCGGCGATTTGCCTAGAGTACCTCCGGGATGGACTGGAGAGTTTCATCCTATCTTCGACACCTCAGGTCAACGAACCAAGGAACGATGACTAACCGCGAGGATCCTCCTCATATGGCACGTTCTACTAGCTCCGTAGAGCTCATGTATGATAACGCCGAGGTTCTCAGTGGAAACGGTTTCGCTCTTGACTCCTTGCCTTACGAGTCTTACCCTACTACGAGGTCTGGACGTGATACGACTCAACGCCATGATCCTCGCACTCAAGTA